TTTTTTTTTTTTTTTTTAAAACAACAACGCCCCGGAAGGGCGGGGGATTGGGCTGGATCCCTAACCTGTGCATAGATCAGGGCCCCAAAAACGGGAGCCCAAAATGTCAACGAACCAGATACAGAGGTCTACATAGTCTGAAGATCAAAAACAAAAACAAGAAAGACAAAAAAGAAAAAAACCGAAAAATGAAAAAGAAACAAAAAACTACATAATAAAGTCGATCTTCGGGCTAACAGATGCCCGAGATAAGTCTATACTAATGAAAATAGAAAACCTATACTAGTGAAAGCGGAAAGCTGGGTATCCAAGCTGGTCCATCCGTACAAGAGTGCGAAAGCGGACTGGAGCAGTGTCGGTCTGGAATGTATGTGTGCCTGGTATGGTGGCGCCAAGGCTGGCCAGGTAATCAGCAGGTCTGTTCCCCTCACGGAAAATGTGCGTGATCCTGTGATGGACTGACTGCAGTAGATCTCTAATGCGCAGAAGCGGGTGCTGGATCTGCCACGAGCCCTGATGGTCCGAAGTCAGGAGGGTGGCGACAGCCGCAGCATCCAGCTCGATCCATATATGACTAGAGATGTGGGCAGCTATCTGAAGGCCAATCTGTAGTGCCTGAATCTCTGCGTCGTAGCTCGAGGAGGCCTGAATGGACGCGTGAAAGGCGGTGATGAGGGCGCCGCTATGGTCCCGAATCAAGCCTCCTCCTCCGGCAACTCCAGTGTGGCGATCGAGGAGCCATCAGTGTTCAGCTTGACCCAAGGAGAGTCAGGTCGAAGCCAAACAACAGCTCTGGCCCGAGGAGTCCGAACAGGCGGTGGTGGGGCCACCATGTAGCGCTGTGGTGGCGTGCAGCCTGTCCAGTCTCGGGCCGTGAGCCTGCCCAATGAGATGAGGAGTGAAATGTGTCTCTCAACCTGCAAAACAATGTGAGAAAACATAAAAGTAGTATCCCTATGCTTCGCACTATTCCTTTCTGTCCAGGTGAACCAAAGGATCAGACAAGGAATGAGGAAGCCCACGTGTCTAAGGTGTGTGCTCTGTGAGAAAAAGCTCAGGAGCTCAAAAAACTGTATGTGGTGGGTAGGGATATATGGGTCCAAGTGGCAAAATGCTCCCACACTCTCCTCATAATCTCACTCTCTAGAAAAAGGTGGGTAAAGGTCTCAGTCTCATGGCGTCCAGTCTCAGAACAACACACACACCGAGAGGGGAAGGAGATCCCCCTCGCGTGTAGCACAGTATTGACGGGTATCCGGCGCAAGAGAAGGCGCCAAAGGAATACCGAAATAGTAGGCGTAAAAAGGTCACTCCAGATAGCCCCGAAAAGGAGATTAGGCCGATCCCTCAGCCTTATCTGCTCCCAAGCCGAGGTAGTAGAAAACACACCTGATGATGTAAGTCTCCACCTCATGCTATCTGAACCGTCCCCCGAGATAGGGATCTGCTGGATCTGATCTAATAACTGCCCGCTAAAACCCGCACCAGCCCCCAACTCCCTATCAAGCTTCCCCCTATCCCACGACCCGTCCGTCCAGAGGTCGCTCACGAGCAGGTAGGGGGAATGCGACACCTGCCTATCCCTAGACAACGGCCTATCACCTACCCACCACTCATCCCAAACACTGACATCGCCCCCGCCCAAAACCCAAAAGATGTGATCCTGGGCTCGCCTCCCGACCCTAGTGAGGCGCCGCCACTGTCTGCTATCATGATCAACAGCCGTGACCCAACAAGGGTGGTTGGCACGTCTAGGGCAGTACTTGCCGCGAAGGTACTGAGCCCAAAGCAACTTTCCTTCCCTGAAGCGCCACCACAACTTGTATGAGAAAGCTGTAACAATGTCCCTAAGGCGGCGGATGCCAAGGCCACCCTCTGGGAGGGGCCGACAGATAGAGTCCCAACTCACCCAGTGAGTACGTCTCCCCCTCCCAGACCCGTCCTCATAATCCCAGAAATAACGAGCCATAATCTGGTCAAGCTCGTCAAGAGTAGACCTAGGGGGGTCGAGGACCATAAGCAAGTGAATCGGAAGAGAGCTAAGAGTGCTCTTGATCAGCGCTAGCCGACCACCGAAAGAAAGATATCTATGCGACCAACCAGAGATCCTGTTGATCATCCTCTGTCTGACGCCCGCAAAGAGCGCTCTCGTGAGGTTGCCCTTATATAAAGGGACCCCGAGATAGGTAATGGGAAGGTCGCCACGCGCAAAGCCAGTAATGTCGTGGACCCGCTGAGCCCACCTGTCCACTGTGGCAGATGAAAGGATGAAGGTGCTCTTCTGCACACTGACCAGCTGACCGGTGACCGAGCCATAGTGCTCCAAAAGGCGCATGAGCTCTACCAGTCCATCATCATCCGCACGGGTGAAGATAATGATGTCATCCGTGTAAGAGAGGTGAGAGACGGTAGGACCATAGCCACAGGTGCTATAGGTCATGTGGGGATAGTCGCGGATGAAGCCGTCAAGGCAGCGAGAGAGGTAGTCCGCCGCAAGAACGAAGAGGGAAGGGGAAAGAGGGTCGCCCTGTCTAAGTCCTCTAGAGGAGGCAAAGAAATCGGTGGGGCTGCCATTAATCAGGACCGAGAACGTGCAATGCTCCACACATGCCTCCACAAAGCTGATCCAGCGCTCAGGGAATCCCATCCTAGCCAACGCCTCCCTAAGAAACGGCCACTCAACCCTATCATACGCCTTAGCCATGTCCAGCTTCAGCGCGATATTCGGAGCCCGCTTCCAGTCCGCTCGGGAGATGTCGTGGATCATCTCCTGGGCCAAAAGGATATTATCACTAATGACCCGGTCCTTGACGAATCCACTCTGGTTCGGAGAGATGAGAGAGGGGAGAAGAGGGGAAAGACGACCGTTAAGAATCTTCGAAATGAGCTTGTTGGTCACGTTACACAGGCTGATGGGCCTGTAATCGGACCAAGAGCTCGGGTCGGGTCGTTTGGGGATCAAGACGACAGAGGTAGACGTGAAGGAATCCGGCATCCGGTGGCCTGAGAAAAAGTCCATCATCGCCTCCTAGACGTCAGTCTCGACAATATCCCAGCAGACCTGATAGAAGAGGGAGGAGAAACCATCCGGGCCGGAAACGCTGTTGGGATCAATCCCGAATACAGCATCCCTAACCTCCTCCCTGCTCGGGAGCTCACAGAGGCCAGTGAGATCGGCCGAAGGAGGGATGGTGGGGAAGAAAGAGGCGTTCGGTGCCACGAGGGACCCTCTGTCAGAGGTGAAGAGGGTCTGGAAGTGAGCAACAGCCGACTCCCGGATCTCAGCCTCCTGGGTCAAGGATGACCCATTAGCCTCGATGCTATGGATGTACGACTTAGCACGCTTCTGCCTAACGTAACCCTGGAAGAACCTAGTGTTCCGTTCGCCCTCGGCCACCCAGCGAACGGCAGCCTTCTGCTTCCAGAAGTCCTCCTCCATAAGGAGTCGGAGCTGGTACTCGGCGTGGCAGCGGTGCATGGCGGTCCTATTCTCCGGAGTGGGATCCAGGTCATAGGCCCGCTCAGCCGACGCATGCGCACTCTGAGCTGCAGTAAGGCGGTGATGGAGGTTTCCAAAAACATCCCAGTTCCACTGTCTCAACCGACGCCGCAGTCTGCCGAGCTTCGCCTCGAGATTGCGCATCCCGAAGAGCCCAGTCGGCTGAAGCCAGGAATCCCTGACAGTGTCGTGGAAGGAGTGGTGGCGAACCCACATGTTTTGGAACCTAAAGGAAGCGCGGCGAGGAGTGCTCGAAAAACGACATCTAATGAGGAGGGGTGAATGGTCAGACCCAAACCGAGTGAGGTGCGTGACGGTCGTGACCGCAAACACCTTCGACCACGCTTCAAAAATCAAAGCACGGTCGAGCCTCTCCTTGAGGTTGTCCCTAACCCACGTGAAGGGCTCACCCTCGCATCCAGCATCAAGCAACTCGCAGTCCGCCACAGTCTGCGCAAAATCCCACATCTCTCGGGATCTGTCCGTGCGGCCACCCACGCGCTCATCGGGATGCAGAAAGATGTTGAAATCGCCACTAACCATCCATGGCAATCCCTCAATACTCTCGGCAATCTCACGCAGGGTGTCCCAAAGATCATATCGCCCGACCCTAGTACACTTGGCATAAACCAATGTGTAAAAGATGGGCTCCGGGAGATGGGCAGCGGAAATCTCTAAGTGAAGCACCTGATCGGTGTCGCGGAGGACCCGACAAGTGTAATCACGCGAGTGGAAGAAGTAGATCTTGTGCGAAATATTACCCACGCCCGAGTGGAAACCCAGACGACGGGAGTAGTGGTCAAAAGAAGGAGTGCGAATCATCGGCTCAATAAAGCCAACAAAATCGACTCTGTGGTCAAGGATAAGAGAGTGAAGGTGAGAAAGAGTAGCCCTGTTCGCCAGGCCACGGCCATTCCAAGTAATGGATGTGATGGACATATCAACGGTCGCAAGAGCCACCGGACCTAGTCCGCCTATGGCGAGGCTGATTCGGGCCACCTAAAGAATGGGAGGTCGTCCGTCGTGTCGTGCGGCGGAAGGGTCCAATGGCTGGGGAGATCGTCCGCCGTCGCGTGTGCTGCGTAGCTCTGGTCCTCGAGGTCTGTCTGCCTCGGTATGTATTCGTGGCCTGTGAGTCATCTGGCTGGACAGACTGGCCTATCGCAGCAATAGCGGGTTGCCCCATCTCCGGGGCTGTCTCCCGTCTGTCAAGGTGAAGAAAAGCACTAGAGGCGAAACTCTCGCACGAGACGTCATGCTGCGCGCGGTTGAGCTCGCATATCTGCTCGGGGATGGGTGAAAGAGGGGGTCCAACAGGCAGAGCACTCGGGTGCTCGCCGGTAGGAGGGGGCTGGGAGCTGGCTATCAGCTCGACCGAGCTCCGAGTCTCAGCAGGGGGAGGATGGGCCGACTCATCCCCTTTCGGGGGAGCGGTGGCGGCAGTAGCCCTCAATTCCGAAGATCGGACCGGGCTAGATGCGCGCACGGTCGAAGGACCGGCATCGCGAGCACTATCATCGGGTAGATGGATGGACTCTCTCCTGGTCGTGCCGTCCGGCTGGTCCATGTCGTCTCCAAGGAGGTCATCGTCATCCAGAAGCGTAAGATCAGTAATCTTAGGAGGCCTGCTGGAGGAAGGAGCAGCTTCCTTCTCTGCCTCAGGGAAAAGAATAGCAAAGTAGGAGTGATTGGCCTTGAAGGCCGTCTGTAAGGTCTGTCTAGGAAGAAAGCCCGTGGACTTGGGCTTGGGACCCACTAAGGCCAACTGCTTAGGCTGGTTAGGATGGGCATCCTTCCCAGTTTGGGCAGTATCGACAATCACAGCCTTTCCCTTATCCTTAGACCCCTTCGGGGTCTCGAGCTCGCGAAGAGGGCTTTTACCCTTTCCCTTTGAGTCCCTCCGGCTGGTGAAGGGCCCCCGCTGAGTCGCGCGGTGACGCTGCGGGATAGCGGGCCGTGGCTTATTGCCACTGATGTAGCAATCGGCCGCAACATGACCCACGTGGCTGCACGATGTGCAGAACGCGGGGATCTTCTCATAGATCACCCGCTGAACAAGAGACTCCGAACCCTGTTCAATCTCAATCTCATGAACGAGCTCGGCTCTCAAATCTATCTCGACACAAAATCGCGCCACGTTAGCCCTCGTCTGAAGGGCCGTCGGGGCGTCGATACGAATCGGCTGCCCAATACACTTAGCTAGTGTAGTGATGGCAGCACGGTCATAAAGATGGGGTGGGAGGCCGGGAAGGCGGCACCACACGGGGACGACCGGCGCCTCCGTCTTCGGGTTAAACCCGACATAATATTTGAACACCCTAGCTGGGCATCCACACAAATGAATCGAGGTCTTAAGCCAGGCCTCGTTATAATCCTCGGGAAGGTGAAACGAGACGAGAAGGTGGTTAAAATTGTACCACTTCGACGACACTCTACCCTTAAAGCCCAGTTTTCCTAACCCAGCAGATATTTCTCGGGGAGCGGGGATAGCATATGAAAACTTAAAGACCAGAGTGTTAGCTAGCTTACCTGCAAGAGCGACAGATTCGGCGTCGGTGAATCGGGCCTTGACTTTGTTCTCCTCCGAGCGGATAATGGTCCCGCAAGCATGCTCGTAATTCCCGTCAAAGGTGAAGTCCTTCGGTGTTGTTCGCTGTTTGGTCGAACCGCCCTCTCTTTTACCCGTGATGGCCTCACGGAATGAAATCGGTCCATTGGAGGTACCCGTCGTCGATGGCCCTCTCGGGGAAGGTCCGGAGAAATGGGCCGCCAAAGCGGTGTTTTGGCCCGCATCCGCAACACCATCTTTTTGTATATACATAATGTCCAGTTCAGTATTTCCGGCAGCCGGAATGGCAGCTCCGGCAAGTTGGTTGGGCTGAGGGGTTGTGGTTGGTCGGGGACCGAGAATTCCGGCAAAAGGCGCACGGTTGTTACCGGAATTGTTGTCGGGGTATGTGGGATTTCCGGTGATAACTCCGGTGGGGTTGCCGGCGCCGGCCGGTGGTTGTTCGGCGGTTGTCGGCTGTGGTGTGACGGCAGCGGGCTGTGAGGTGTCGGGACTGGATTGTTTGATTGGCTGTAGGGGCCCGCCGGCGTGGGCAAAGCCGTTGGTGACGTTGTTGGCAGATTGGCCGGATGGCGGTGGAGGAGCGCCGCCGGTCGTCGAAGGTCTGGCGGGGTCAGTTTGCTGGCAGCAGGTGGTGGGAAGAGTTGAAGCCGGATGACGACGGGCTGGGGTATGGGCTGTGACGGAATTGGGGGTTGGGGAAATGGGTTTCGGAGCGGGCCCCAAAAATGGGAGGTTCATGCCTGGGCTAGCGAAAGACGACTGAAGATTTTGATTATGCGGTCCAGAGGGATGGCCCATGTCCGTAAGGTGTGGGCTGGATCGAGAATGGCTCAGCCCAGAATTATTTGAAGAAATTTGGGCCTGGTGAGGTGCAGCCCAATTGACTGGAGACTTGGGCTTATGAGATGGAAGGTTTTGAGTTATGAGCTGAGGGTTTTGATCATTAGATTCGCCTCCATTCAAATCAATTTGAAGGCTTCCATTATTGCCTGTCAGCATCTTCACCGAGGAAACCGGAGCCACGGCGGAGCCTACATCTTTTTTACCTTCGACCTCCATAGTCTTCATAGCTTCGGCGGAGCTCGAAATTAAGGTGACCGGAATGTTGACTTTGGAATTATTAATGTCGTTTGCGCCGGTGACTGTCGGGAGGTTCCGACTTTCTGGGATAATTTTCACTTCCTTGACTGATTCCGACCGCGGGTATGAAAGTCTGGCATCGGAGACATGTGACTTGACATTTCCACAAGGATGCTCAGCACCTTCTTTAAATTCCCCTTCTTCTAAGATCCTGTTTTTGCTTTCTTCTTTTTTCATTATGTTGAACTCGATATTTCCGAGAACGGCTGTAAGGGCCTCTCGAAATTCCGGCTTTGCCATTAAAGTTTCCAAATCCAAAGCTTGGATGCCGGATGATTGTTGTCTGTTTGCCGGATGAATGTTGTCTGTTAGCTGAGAACATTTTTGTTCGCTTTGATTTTTGCTGTGAGATGGAGGTTGTTGGTGAGACATGGTGGGTTTGGGAAAAGGAAAAAGGCAGCTGCTTGCCGGAGCAAGCCGCCGCCGGCGGCTGCCGGAGGCGCAACTATGGGGCAGAGGCGGTGGTCGGAAAAATTAGGCCAAAGTAAAAGGGAAAAAATTCTAGAGAGAGAATGTTAGAGAGATGTGAGAGCATTTTTGTTGCTAGGTTGTCTTTTGTTGCTCTCTGTAGTTGCTAGGTTAGTTGTATATAGTCGCTAGGTTAGTTCTCTGTAGTTGCTAGGTTAGGTCTCTGTAGTTGCTAAGTTAGTTCTTTGTAGTTGCTAGGTTAGTTCTCTGTAATTACTAGGTTACTAGTTGCTAGGTTAGTTCTCTGTAGTTGATAAGTTAGTAGTTGCTAGGTTAGTTCTCTGTAGTTGCTAGGTTAGTAGTAGCTAGGTTAGTTCTCTGTAGTTGCTAGGTTAGTTCTCTGTAGTTGCTAGGTTAGTTCTCACTAGTTGCTAAGTTAGTTCTCTGTAGTTGCTAAGTTAGTAGTTGCTAGGTTAGTAGTACCTAGGTTAGTTATTTGTAGTTGCAAGGTTATTTCTCTGTAGTTGCTAGGTTAGTTGTCTGTAGTTGCTAAAAGCTGAGCGCATTTTAAAAGCTGGACGCATTTTAAGAGCTGGGCGCATTTGATCCGCCCCCTATATATATATATATATATATATATATATATATATATATATATATAGAGTTAGGATCATGTGAGAATGGTAGATAGTGAAAGAAATAAGAATGAATCTAAACCATTGGATACATGATATCAATGGTGATGATCAAGTCAAACTTTAATAAATAATGGTCAATCATTAATGGCAATGTGGTAAATAATGATATATATCATGGTCAAACATATAGATTTTATCACTAATTAAGGGTAATTTAGACACTTGAACCAAACACAAAATGGGACCCACCACCTCACCCATTAACCCTACACCCCTCCACCTACCCCGTCATTCACCTTCACACACACACACACACACACACACACACAATTCTCCCCGCACACACAGAAAATCCGGTACGTCACCTCCTCAGCAGCGGAGCTCCGCCGCCGCACTTCTGCAACCCGCCGCAGCGCCTCCACAGACCATCGCCGGAGACGAATGCGACCAAGGATGCTCCGGCCCGCCGCCCGTCGCAGATGCCTCTATACCATCCGCCGACGCCCGCGTCCACTCGAGCCCCCAACAACTAATTCCACCACACCGACACATTCCCTCCGCCACGGCGATTCCAGTCTGGTGAAGATGGAGAAGGTGAAGGCAATAAACCGGACTGATTTGGTGTCATTGTCGCGGCTGTTGTCGTCTGCCGTTGTTGTCAGCGGCGGCGCGAGGTGGTTCTAGAAGGGCTGGCGGCGGTGGGGGGTGGCCTGATGTAGACTCTGGCCGGCGGGGAGTTCGCAATGGTGAGAATTGGGTGATTTTGTAGGGTTTTTAATTTGGAGCCTATTAGGCCCTAGTCTGGCGAGTCATGATCGGCGACTGCCGGTGGTTGCCGTCGTCGCTGGTGGCGCGGTGCTGACAAGGCAGGCGGCGATAGGGGGCGGGCTCGATGGTGGTTCCGGGATTTGGCAGTGTATTTGAAGGGCATTTGGGTTGGATTTTGTAAATTAGACAATGTATATGGGCCTTTGTGCAATTTGTAAAAATTTGATATATGTTTATAATTTTGTCCATGTGAATCTGAAAATCTAAATATTGCTCCACTCACTCTCCCCATTTTTCTTCGGTTTCTGCTGAGTGACTTCTATTTCTCTGTGGATGTTCTTAGCTGGTGTCTATTATGGTTTTTATGTTGATATCCTCAATGTTGTATAGATGTGCTACTGTGGTTGATTTCTCTTCTTCTCTTTGATGATGCTTGAAGGGCTGGGCTGCTTGTTAATAGTGCTGATTGTGGTGTTGATAGTGATGCTGGTGGTGTTGTGCGGGTATGTCTCCTCCAGTAGTGTTGATTGTGTAGATGTGCTGTTGCTGAATTCAGGGAACCTTGGTGATCATTTTCTTCCGTTTGCTGGGCAGGATATTCTGCTCCGTGGCTTTTATTTTCTCTAGCTTTGATAATGATGTATAGTCTTCTTTTTTCATTTCTCTTTGTATAGCAGTTGCAACTAGGCCGTGTAGGTATAAAGATACAACTCTACGGTCTCATTGTCTAGTCTCTACCGGGAGTTGTTTTGTATACTTTTCTTTTAGTAGGCTTCTAGTGCACGTTTTATTGGGTTCTCTTTTTTATACTTCTCTTTGAACCTTTTATTGGATTATTTAGCCCAGGTTGTACATTTCGGCTTCGTGATATTAAATCTGCCGTTTCGAATAAAAAAAAAAGAATTTGAAAATAATTTAAAAAAATACTAAATGCACATAATGGACTATAAAATGCACAATAATGTGTTTGCATGTACACATTAAAAATACAAATGACAAAACATCTACTGAAAATTTTAATTTGGTTGAGTTTGGTCTATATTGTGCAATCAACTAGTCATAATGTGCATTTCATTTAACGTAAGTGTGCAATTTCAAAGCATAAAAATATAATAATAGTAACAATGATAATATTTTTATATAGTATGTTCGTTTGGTTATTTCGATTAAAAAGAAACTGACATCAAACCAAGGTAATCGAGTTTTTTAATGTAAAGAAAGTATATCGCACCGAAATATATCGAACCAAAATATAAAAAATCTGAACCGAATAAAATTTTAGTTCGGTCGAGTTTAGTTGATGTTGTGCAATCGGATAATCATTAAATTTCAATATGTCTAATTTTATTGTGCAATCGCAAGGCATAAAAATCTAATAACAATAAGAATAGTAATATCTTTATATATATATTAGTCGTTTGCTTATTTTGGTCGATGTTGTGCAACCAAATAGTCATTTTGAATTATTATTATTATTANAACGTCGCCGGCCGGAGGGGCTGCCGGAGCGGACAGGTGGTAGGGAGAAGATGGCACATTTTGGGATTTGGGCATTTTTGTGGGAATTAGATGTTTATAAATGACTTGATTGCAATTTAATAATTTTTTATTATATTCCAATTTGATTCATGTGGCAAATCTATAATTTTAGAAAGTTTGATAGATGCATATTAATTTTAAATAAAATACACAATCTATTGGATTTCATCACACCAAATATAAATGCATTGTGACAGCACAATAGTTTTATACAAAATGCACATTAATTATTAATAGATTGCACAATAGCGATCGAAATTGACCGAATTAATTTTTTATTTTTTATATGTCGGTTATATTATTTGTTTTTAGTTTTAAATTTCAATTATCTCGGTTAGATGTCAGCTTTGTCTTTAAAAATAATAAAATCGATTGAACTAAATTAAAATTATAATATTTTATATTCTTTTATATATATTAGATATTTTTCAACCAACAAAGTAATATAAACATTAAATAAAAATAATAAAATACTAAATATTAAATTCTTATGGATCTGATATATGAATTGTGGTTGGGTGATTTGTTGAGAATTTGACAATTCTTATGGATCCAATCGCAATTTTGTAAATATTAATAAATTTCAATTTAGTTTATGGGCCAAATTTTTAATTTATCTAAACTTTAATATTCATACATAATGTTAATTAATCTGCACGAAATCATGTGTGGAACTGTACAAAAAAATATCCGCACTGCAGAGACTAAAAACATTGGTTCGAATTTATATGTTTCGATCCCATGATATGATATTACTTTCAATTAAATCATTTAAATTCGATGTCGGATTTATATTTTCATATAAAAGTATTATTAATTTCAGCAAAATACATATATATGTATACATAAAATATAATAAGAAATATTAAGAATACTAAATAATTTTTTATAATATAAATAAAATTTTATTTTGGATATGTTATTTATCGCGTTTCAATTTTAATTTAGTTTGGCACAAAAGTTGAACAGTTTCATGCTGCACAATAGCACCGAAACTGTGCACGATATGGTTAAATTGATTGCACATTAATATCTGTCAGACTGCACACCAACGATTTAACTCGAAATTATGATTCAAATAATTATATTTCAAATCGATTATTTATTTTTGTTATTTAAAAAAAAATCAGCTATTTCTACCAAAAATAATCAAAAGAATATAAAGCATTAAATAAAAACACAAATTATATTAAAATATCTACTCCAAACGATTAACAATATTGTGTATATACCAACTATTTTTTTTTCAAAATATCGACTCCAACCAAATGTACGTTTAATCTATTTTTTAAGACGAAAAATATATTCCTAAGTTGTAAATAATATTTTATTACAGTTATTTTAGTTAATTTTGTTAACCAACCGAATAAACAAATTAATTCGATTTAATGTTATTTCAGTTTTGAGATAAAAGTTCGACGGATTCATAGTGCACAATATCATCTGAAATATTGCACAATATGATTAGAGGAGTTGCACATTAATGACTATCAGAATGCATTATTATCAAAAAAATCTGAAATTTATGAAAAAATATATTAAAAAATATTATTTTTTATCTTATGTATTAATATAATAAATAAAAACATTAAAAAATAATAAAATATAGTATTAAAATAATATGAAATATTTTTTTTCTTTTATAAATATTTGATAAATACAAAATAATGTTAATTGAAATACAAACTATTAAAGTTTCTATAATTGAAATGTACATAAAAACACACAATCTATAGAGTGCACAACAATCTTATACAAAAATGCACATTATAGTGTGTTGGAATGCACAATATTGATTTAATTATTTAATATATTATGTCTTTTCAACTAAGAAGTAATATAACATATTAAATATAAATATTAGAGTATTAAATATAAATATATTTCCATAATTTATAATAGCAAATCGTTTTGATCAATGCGAGTAATACGGTTAATCGATTGAACAAAATAATTATTTGGTTCAGTTTTAATTCGATTTAGAACAAATCATTAAAAATTTATATGGTTCGAATGCACATCAGTGTTAGACGAATTACACATTATTGACTAACATATTGCACACTAATTTAATTATCTATTTTTTACTTTTAAATTTTGAATATTTCGATTATATGCCAACATTATTATTTATAACGGTCGAAACAACCAAACCGACCGAAAGATAAACCGTGCAAAGTCTATATTTTAATAAAATTAATATGTGATTTTTAATGTGCATTTTAACCAACAATATTGTGCATTTGTTTGTATTATAATGTGCAATTCTTATAACCTTTTAGTACATTACAATAATGCCACACATATTCAAATACAAACAAACTAAAAATTTTAAAATTGCATCAAAGCCCTTATGAGTTGTTGAATTCTCAAAAATCAGCCCTCAACAAAAAAAATAAATAAAAAAAAAATGAAAAAAATCTCGTCTGCCCGTCTGCCTCCCGACCGACGCCCTCAGCCCTCCGTCCGCCATCATCCATCCGCCGCCATCCGCCCTCTGTCCACGTGCACCTTCTGCCACCAAATGGACGACGTTCAGCTTCTGAGAAGGGGCGCTTGAAGCATCTCATCTCCGTCAGCCGTCTCGTCTCCGTCACCGTCGCGTCGCGCCGCCTCCGTCCGCGTCACGTCGTGCTTCACCTCCATCCGCCGAATCGCCACCGTCTGATGCCGCGTCGCATAGCCTCTGTCAGCCGCCTCGCCGCATCACCTTCGTCTGCCAACGCCTCCGTCAGATGCCACATCGCCTTGCCTTCGTCCACCGCCGCTGCGTCGCCTCCCATCCGACCACCATCGCGTAAGCTCGTCTCCGACCGCCGCTGCGTATCGTCGTCTCCATCCGCCGCCGTGACGCCTTGCCTGCATCCAGTCATCTCATCGACCAGTTAAACGGAATAGGAATGTGGTGGTGTTGCGGCGGCGAATGTGGCGGCGATAGGTGATCCGGCCAGTGCGTGAAGTGTGAGTGAGTTTGTGTGTGCCAGATCTGAAGTGTGTGTGTGTGTGTGTGTGCGCCAGATCTGAAATTTGGGTGTGGCTTGGGGCGGGTAGGTGGGTGGGTGGGTGAGAAAGGTAGGGGACGGATAGGTGATGGGTCCCACATATGGTGTATTTATGATAAATGTCTAAATTATCCTTAATTATTGGTCAAATCTATTATTTGACCATGATATGTTATTTATTTACCATATTGCCATTAATGATTGACAATTATTTATTAAAATTTGACTTGATCATGACCATTAATTTGATGTATTCAATGATCCAGATCTATTTTTATTTCTTACACCAACTCCCTTTCTCATATGATCCAAATTCTATATCTATATATATATATATAGGGTCACGCTCCGATGAGAATGGCTCTTAATGCGAGAAATAAGAATAAATAGTAGTCATTGGATCGAATGATCTAATGGTTGAAAAAATATCAAAATTATACTTTCATTAAGGGTAATACAGTCATTTATTCGAACACCAACTATCCAGTGGGCCCAACCCCAATTATACAACTCTGAATTCCCACCCGTCGTCACAAACACCTCTCTCTCCTCTCTCTCTCTCTCTCTCTCCGCCACATCGTTGCCGCCAAGTGCGCCAGCCAGGCCCTCTCCTCCCCTCCTCCATCCACCACCACCTCCGATCGCCGCCACCCCCTCCCGTTCCTCGCCCTCAGGCCCTCCGGCCCCAGCCGCAGCCACATCCCCTCATCCGCCCTCCACGACTTCGATCCTGCATCCGTCCGGTGGCTCCGCTTCTCCCAACTCCACCTTATCACCTCAGCCGCCGGACTCCTTTACCTATGGGCCTCTCCCGCCGCCAAAACCCCCCCAAAATCCCACGTCGTCTGCAACCCCCTCACCGCCCAGTTCAAAACCCTCCCCCATCACCGCCGCCGTCGCCTTCGTCCTCGTCGGCCGCCTCATCACCGCCGCCGTCGCCTTCGTCCTCACCGAGCTCGCTGTCCTCTACTACCCCACCGACGGCGGCTCCAGCCTCAATAGGCTCAATTCAAGTCCAATTTTCCATCAAAGCCCCCGGCCCCATCCTTATCTCCGATTCCATTTGAAATCGACCAACAGAGATCAACGAAAAGAGATTAGAGCAGATTGGAGATGGACATGAGAAATTGGATGCAAATCAATTTTTTTTTTTTTTTTCCACTAACGCAAATCCAATTTTGGGGGTTGGTTTTTTATTTATTGTAAATTAGATAGCTTTGTGGGACTTAATTACAATTTTGTTGAGGTCAATTTTGCAATTTCATCAAATTTGAGTATTTTTAATTTAGTTAATGACCAAATATGTAATTTATATCAATATTCTAATAAATTCATATTAATATTAAAAAATGTACAATGTTTAAAAATTTTAATATGTATAATTTTAATACGTAAGAAATATTAATAATAAATATATAGTATAATAATAAATAATAAATAATAAATAATTTCAATTATTTACGTTATTTCGATGAACAATTATATCCACTAAATCTAATTTTCAAAAATACATAATTTATATGTGATCATAGTAGTGCACTTTATATATTAACACGTTGCACATGATAAAACATCAAGATGCACTTTATAAAACACTACGTTGCACTTTATCACCACACTCAACAATTAACATCAATAGCTCCCGCCAACATACCACACAACATAACTATAAAACAAATCTACATAATACTTTAAAATCTATAATTTTATTTAGTGATTGCACAATATCGAAATAAAAAGTTTCTTCAAAATTTTATATTTCGATTAGATTTTTTTTACATTAAAAAACTTTATTATTTTGGCTTGAACTCATTTTTTCTCTATTTTTTTACATTAATTACTATAAATATAAAATACTAAAATAATATAAGATATTAAAATAATAAAAAATTGTTTATAATAACAAATAAAGTATAATAGTAAAAATAATAAATAAAAAATATTTTAATTATTTAAGTTTATTCGGTGAACAATTATATATAATAAAATTAGTTTGCGAATACATATAATTTATCTAGAAAGGTAAATTAGTACATTTTACATAGCGGAACGTTGCACTTTATAAAACAACACGTTGCACTTTATCACCACACCTCACAATTAATGTCAACATATGTCACCAAAATATTACGCAATATAAATCTATAAAATGGATCTAAATAATATTTTATATCCATCACATCATCTATCCACAAAAAAACACAACCATGTCAACATACCAAAATTTCAGTATTGCATTTTATATATCGATACGTTGTACTTTATACAACAGTATATTGCACCATATAATACAACATGTTGCACCTTATAAAACAACACGCTGCTCCTAGCAAAATTACGGTAAGTATGCTAATCGATCGACTAATAATATTCGTTGGTTAAAGGTCGGATTTTGTTTTTATATAAATAAATAAAATAATCGAACATGTCGAACTATATGAACAAATATACCGATTTTTTTATATTTTTATGAAAGATAACAGTATTTTTCTATCTATAATTTTATATATTCGAGTGCACCTTAGGGTTGTACGACTTGCACACAAATGTATGCCAGATTGCACCAAAATCAAAGGAGACCCAACGAACAGAAATTTTGTACAAACAATTTATATTTTAGTTCGATTGTTATTATTATTATTTTTATATAATGGTTAGTTCACTTATTCAAATAACCAAAATAAAAAATAAACTGTACTAAAAATATTAACTTTTATATATATATATATTTTTTTACATAATCGAAATAACCAAACGACCGAACTACACAAAAATTACTATTATTTTTAATTAATATATTTTGTATGTATGTTTATTTCAATAAAAACTATAAAATATTAAATATTAAATGAAATGTTAAAATGTTAATTTGTAGTTTTCATTAATTACAAATCCACCCGTGAACTCAATTGTAATTTATTAAAATTGTTGAAATTGCAATTAAGCCCCTATATTATATCAAATTTACAAAATCAAGTCATCATCATAATTTACAGATCTGATCATGGTTTCCCGTAACCGCCGACGAAAAAAAAGGCAATCCTGTTAAAATACCATAATTCCTGTATTGCACTTTCTATATAAATACATTGCACTTTATACAACAATATGTTGCACCTTATAACACAAAACGTTCCACTAATTCTAATGATCAAACGAATATATTAGTTGGTTAATGTCGTATTTAGTTATTGTTAAATAAACAAAATAACCGAACATGTCGAACTATATGACAAATATTACCGATTTATTTATTTATTTATTTTATTATAAATAATAATATTTTTATTTATATTTTTTATGTATTACGAGTGCACATTAGGGTTATACGGATTGTACATAAATACTTATCAGATTGCACAAAATCGAGCAATATCCAACGATCATAAATTCGATACGAATTTTTACATTTTGGTACTATTATTATTATTATTATTAATTTTATTATTATTATTATTATTATTATTATTATTATTATTATTATTATTATTTTATATATCGGGTATATCGGTACGATGACATGCTTTTTTTATTTATATAACCGAAATAAAAAATGAACTATATTAAAAAATAATATTTTGTATATATTTTGTACAACAACGACCACGATTAACAAGCCTAAATTTTTTGATTGGAAATTTTATACTATTAATAATTATCTATTTTTACTTTTAATTTTTAAAAAACTGACTACATTATTATAAATATACATGATGAGTTAATTCAGTTATTTTGATTCAATCAAATAATTGACCGAATAAATTGATCAATTATGTTCGATTTTATTTTGGATTGTGATAAAAAAAAATACCATCGATTCGAATGTCTCACAACCGTGCACATTTACTATCAAATCCGTGCACATTATTGTTGTGCAAATAGCACATTAGTGTCTCACCGGTTGCACATTAACATTTGAAACTGACCGAAATAATATTTTTGATTCGAAAATCATATGTTAGTTCAAATATAATTTTTGAATTTTAAAAGTTCCAATGTCGTCTTTAGGTTTTAAAATTTATTTATCACTATTTTTAAATTTATTAAATCATTAGTAATTTAGTACAAATATTTATCTCACTATTAATTTATGTTATAATTAAAGTTTAAATAAAATTACAAAATAGTCCTAACATTAACCCTATCAAAGATTTTTTAAGAAAAAACGTATGAATAGGACTAGCTCGGATAAGGAAGGCCATTAAATAATCACATGAGTTGAAGTTCTAGCAATGAGAAAGTATGAAATGCAGATCAATTCAAAACTCAACAAAAGCAGACGGTCAAGGACGGCAGGTAAGATAAATTCAATCATTTGTTCTTATGATTTATTATGATCACTAAACATTCAAATAAAGAAGTACTCTTCCTCTCGGATACCATCTTACGAGTCTCTTTGTGTTAATAGTTTTATTAGTGTCAGAATGAAACGATATGAGAATCATGAAAGCATGCACAAATCAAACTAGTTTAAATCGATTGTCCTAGAGTATTCCACATACAGATGCGTAGAAAATGCATTATTTTCAGGCATTGAGAACTGAAGAGTCATAACAAAAGGGAAGACACATTACATCTGAGATAAAGCATCGAAAATAAGTTGTGCCTCAGCAGAAACACCCACTCCAATCCTCTCAGCTAAACTAACCCCTAAATCAATACACACCCAAATCACCCCAAAATTACAGTTCACCTTCCCAGCCAAATCACTCTTTCCCCAAATTCTCACCCACCAAAATCACTCTTCACCTAATTCATTCACAAAAATCAGCAATTGAATCAAAAGTCACACAATATCAAAATTCCGGCCACCCAATTCATTCACCCAAATCACTCTTCACCCAATTCATTCACAAAAATCAGCAATTAAATCAAAATTCACCCAATATCAAAATTCCGGCCGTCGAAAAATCACATAAATCACGCTTCAAAATTCATCAGCCCAAAAGCATTTCCGGCCGCCGCCACACATCTCCCGTTCAGGTCGTCGGCGAGCTCGTCCAGTCAAGGTCGCCGACCATCTACTATTCCCGATTCGTCCTCGTCTGCAACACCCGGATCTACCGTCTCCCTCACCGTCAGTACAATCGGGAGTTGGGACGTTCGACTGACGGGCTGAGCGAGATTGAGACAGGGGCAGGTGACGATGGTGGCGGTGCTGGGATGTCTGGCAGAGATCGACGAGATGGTAGCGGCGGCGACGACGACTTCGTGCACCGACGGTGAGATTGGGCTAATGGCAGTGGCCGGTGGTTTGTGGTGGGTTGACTCCGGCCATGTCCGGGAGGAGGGGAGGTGGAGGGCACTGATGGGGATGGCCGACGGCGCTCGCCGTGACGGTAGCGGCGGCGGCGGCGGTAACCGGTGATTTGGTGCGGATTTTCGGCCGTGCCCGCCGGAGTGTGTGTGTGTGTGTGTGTGTGAAATTGTGTGTAGTGTGTGTTTAGTGCGTGCAGGTGAGAAGGAGATAGGCTGAGGAAAGAGAAAAATATGGAGTGGAGTGATTTTGTGAGTGGGTCCCACCTGATATTTATATTTACTAACTTACCCTTATTATTGGTCAAACACACATAATGACCATAACATGATAAACAATTACTAAATTGCCATTAATGATTGACCATAATTTGACTTCATCCTAACCATTTATATGTTGAATCAAATGATCCAGACTCATTCTCATTTCTCGCATTAAGAGTCATTTTCATATGATCCTTTCTCTCTCTCTCTATATATATATATATATATATA